TTCTTGCATTTTGTGGTTTTCGAACACTTTTCGAAAGATAACGATGGTAATGACGACGATTTGGGTCGGCGAGACGGAGGAGGGGAAGGCGGCGGTGGAGAAAACTTCTGTTTCTTCGGCGTCGTGGTCACCGCGCAGTTGTGATTCTCGGGTATTGTTTTGACGTTGATCGATGGTGATATCCGGTGGTGGATTGTTGTTTCCGCACTGCTGTTGCCAGATGGTGATTCCTGAACATGTCCTGCCGCGAGGGGCTGACCAGTCTGAGTGGTCGTCGCCCATTCGGGCAGAAAAGTCACTTGAGGCAACTTGATTTCTCTTACTAGATAGTGTCAGGCCGATTATCTATATTTGTTTTCAGGAAACTTGTCGGACTTTGATGATCACCAAACTTTGTAGTGGTTTGTCGTAATTGTGACGACTAGCAGATGCACGGGGGCAGAGGGGGGTGGGGGCGAGAGATTGGAGGTTTCTGGAGGGGGAAGAGGGGTATATATCTCTAGGGTTCAAAAGATCAACATGAGGCCATCAGCAGAGGGGGCCTGATAAGTAATGATAGTGTAACAGAGAGGGCGAAGTCGCGTAGTGTTGCTGGATAAGGCCGCGAGCTGTTCCTGGTGATTGTAGTGGTTCAGTGAAGGTTTGTGGTGGTGAATGAGTTTGGTGGCGGGGTTGAGGAAAATGGGGTAGCGAGGAGAAGGGGAAATCATCCACAGAGTGAAGAGAACTTTATCGAGGACTCCTGCGGAATGTTCGTTAGTTAACGAACTAAGTTAACTTAGTTTGTTTTACTTAACTTGATCACTGTGTGTTGGATGGAGAATGAGAAACAGAGATCTTACATAGGAGAGGCTAACCTTCACAGATAAACTCCAGTTCACTTTTTCTTGATAATTTTAGCTTTCAGTGTAACAAATATACGTCCTTCTTAGAAAATACGGGGTTTTAGGTCGAATTATCGGCTAAATCGGTAACTTATTTTTTTCCACGGCTAAAAATATGCAGTGTGCGTAGAAGTCTCTTGGCCGGAAGTGACTGCTAAAGCAACCGGAAGATGATAAAAACAGTTACTTATTCATACACTCATTGAATCTACATACATAAAGCGTTCCTCACCAAGTAGCACGTCGTTATGTAGCAGAAATGCTTACCGTTGCTTCACATTTGCACACGGTAACCTGATTTTGAAACGATTCAAGTATCTTCCTCTTATGATTGCTCCCAGTACAGTGAACTTCTGATTCGTCAGATAATAGGTTTAGAAACTGCTGCATTTACAAAGGGATTCTCTCAAAACAATGGGGATTCAGGTGTAACTTTATGTTCTGCATTCAACACCAAATCACCACGCAAGCCATAAATCGATCCAATCAATTCTATCTTCACAGGGTCCAGCTCAGGCTTGTGTTATCTCACTCTTCTGCTTTTACATCCTGGAAAAAAAAAATTAATTGTGCAATTAATAGGCTTTTCAACTAAAACAAATATAAATATATATACCCACTCTCTTGTAAATGTAAGTTTTGTCTCATTTTATAGAACATGGTAAATGGGTCTAAGCTTAAAACTAATTATATGTAACATATTTTGTTCTTATCTCAAACAATACTTTTAATTAGGGTAATTCTGTCAGGTGAATAAATCGTACTTTTTTATTTATCTGATTCGGCCCTGAATTGTTCGTTGCTTGGATTTTTTTGCAAGTTTCTTTTTCGTAAAATTTATAGCTTAAAAGCAGAGGAATTAAAATTAGGCATATGAGAGAGAACTGATAAATAAGGGTCAGCTGAAAATGGAAGAAGGAAGAGAGTTCTAAAAGTAAAAGTGGGTGGAGGGCAAGCGTTAGTCTGTGAGAATAATCCCACATGTTACGTCACTGGTGGCCGGAAGTTGTGTCCTTTTTACATCCATTATTATTATTACCATTGTTGTTGCTGCCGGAATATTCTAACGAGAACTGTGTGACTCTCACTCGTAATTTATTTCATGGCTGTTGATTTATACGTATTTATACACTGACTCAATACAGTGTCGCGATTTAAAACAAAGACGTAACGTAATAAATACGTACATGTCACCGTGGGAAATAAAAATACATCGTCTTTTCTTTATAACCATGAGTGGGAATACAAGTCTTACATAACAGATGAATCCCTGTATTCACAAATTATGACAAGTATAAAATTATTTAATAATAGACTATTCAAACATCCCCAGATTTTCAGGTCTAATTGTCTACATTCATGTGCTCCCTGTAACTCTTTAAAGCTCATGTCCCACCAGCTTTGACGATCAGTAACTCTTAATTTTGAGATATAGTATAGTTGCGTCATATTGTGATATTAATTAAAATAATTATTATATTTGTTTACCGTCAAATCACAATAAAATAGTAAGTTAAGATAATTAAAATTATTAAAATATCATCTTATGTTCCATATCGAGCATTCGATTTACATCGGAACATTCACAACATGTTTCGGTTTATCAAACCGTCATCAGGTGTAAAATATAAACTTTTAAACTCAAATTACAATTATTTATAGTTTTTACAATTTTATAATTTTATCATCTTTCTCGGTATATTTTATGGAAGTTGTGTCTAGATATTATTAATATAACATTATTGTTGAGGTGGTGTTATTGATGTTTTACCAGTCATATATGAAATAGCAATCGGTTCAGATGTGTTCAGAGGAGAGATCCAGAAGTGTTACCATCTCGGAACAAGGTTCGTTATTGACTGCGGTGTTAGTGGGTGAAAGGTGGTTTGTCAGGGTTGGGGGTCAAGGTACTGGAGTGCATTTAAAAAGGGGTTATTAAGAAAAATGTTATTGTCGTTTAGGCAGATGTTTTGTTTATAAGTTTGTTGTATGTGATATTTTTATATTGTATCTCTGTATTTTGTATTCATAGGTTTCGTATGTTTCTCACTGTAAACAGCGTTAACCATTTGATCTGCGTAATGGTTAAGACCTGTGTTTTCTTAGCGGTACGGACTGAATTCATAAATACTATTTAGACGAGCTTCCGATTCAAATGATTATGGTACGAGCCGAGCATTTGCGTAGAGAAACTGAGGAAATCCCACCAAAAATCCTCTATCATTACATCCGCTTGCCAAGCAAAGACTTTGGGTTCCATTAAATGACACCCAACCGAGCTCATACGAGTTTCTCAACAAGGAAATTCTTGCAGAATGACCGATTATAAACTGCCAATCACGAAATTTCGG